ACACACAATCACACACATGCACACACACGCACACGCACACGCACACACACACACACAACACACACACACACACACACACACACACACACACACACACACACACAAATACACCACTCAATTTATTACTATATATTCCGTATTTAACTTTTTAGGTTCATATTTCAGAACATACGTTTGCATTCGCCGGTTGTCTCGTTTTTAGTATAGCCTTGGTAACATCTACAGGTGAAACTGCCTTCGTTGTTCTCACATATAGAATTAGCCTCACATGGGCTGACATCCGTAGCAACGCATTCGTTAATATCTGTAACACATAATACGATAAATACGATACGATACGTACGATACGTACGATACGATATAATACGATACGATACGATACGAGATACGTGGAGCTCACTGGCTTGGTCTGTCTAGGTGGTGCCTAAATCTTAAGCAGCAAACCTTCACTTCATCTCCCTATATATAGCTTGATAGCTTGGCACTATATCTGAAATCATATATATCTATATACCTAAAACCCTTAACATCATATACGCCACTTTTGATGTTTTTACCACAAAACCCACAATTCTTTCACATATCTGCCCGACTAATATATCTTAACCTTACCCCCGAAACAACTGAAGGCCGATTTTACGCGGCGCCCCACCCTCTCAAACCACCAACAATCGTCACAACGGCAAGCACGATGTCAGAGCTTACGGCCGACTTCAGACTTAATTTTGCTTTGCACCATAGAAATATACTAGTTAGTGTCTCTATAGTGTCTCTATATATTTCTATGTTTTGCACGTACCATTGCACGGCCCCCTGTAGCCGGACAAGGAGTAACCCACTTCGCAAGCACACGTGTAATTTCCGGTGACGTTGTTCACGCACATTGAGCCTCCCGTGCATGGCTCGGTGTAGAGCGTGCATTCGTCCACATCTAAAATATACATATAAATATAAATAATTAAACAAAATTTATTTAAATAATTAATAATAAAATATATTAATAATAGTAATAATAAATATAATATAATAAAAAAAGGAAATATGAATAGATTCGGTTGGCTCATGACCCGCCAGCCTATACGCAAAGCGGAGTTTTCATAATGCCTAATCTTTGCAAATATATATTATATTGCGCAAGCGCGATCACCGTTTCAGACGCGCAGTACGGCCTAAATAAAAGTACGTAATATAGTTGCTGAGGGAGAGAGGGGTAGGAGAATGAGGGAAGGTGGCAGGGAAGATAGCTGAGGGGCAGTGGAAGAAGAAGGAGGCTGAGTGTGCGACAAGGAAGACAAGGGGAAGAGCGGCGGGGATGAAGTAGTAGTTTTGCACCCTACTGGCTAGGGCGCTCTTCTAATTATAAACACAGGTCTACCGATAACAATTTATTACATAAATCTATGTTGAGATACCCCCTGACCATGTTAAATGCATTTTCATCACAAAATATAACCTCTCTGGTGAAATATTGCGCATGCGCTAAAACAGTAACGTAGCCATATTGTGTAGCCTACTGACTGGTATATGCAGCCGGGACCTTACATGCAATGTCTGCTTCCTATTTTATAAGTGAGGTCTACTCGTGGAATATCATCATGGAAATCTATGCTGGGATATCCCTCTTCATTTTAAATTCATAATTTTGGCAAAATATTATTATTCTCAGGAGATTGCGTATGCGCCACCACCGTTTCAGACGGGCAGTATACGGCCTAAATAAAAGTACATAATATAGCTTGCTGAGGGAGAGAGGGGTGGGAGACGGAGAGAAGGCGACAGGGAAGATAGCTGAGGGGCGGTGGAAGAAGATTAAGGAGGCTGAGCGTGCGACAAATGAGACAAGGGGAAGGGCGGGCAGGGATGAAGTAACAATGTTGCACCCAATGGGCTAGGACACTCTCCTAATTATAAACACAGGTTTCCGAAGCTATATTAGTGAATGTGAGAGTGCAGCTAGCAATGCTGAGGACTTCTCTGAATGCCTGATGAAGCTGACATAAAAAATAAACATAATGAACAACGTACACAAAATCAAACAATACATAACATAGATTAAGACATGTAGGGCCTACATGGCCGAAAGACGGAAACAGCATATGTACCACCCAAATCAATAAACATAATATTGTTAAAGCTGTCAGAAATACATCAATAGCTTATTAGCAAGCCCGTGGTTGGTTCAGCAGAGAGCTTTAGCTGACGTTTCATACGTCACGAGAAAGTTCACATGGAAACTAATATCGAATTTGTTGCCAAACCATCGTATAATATGCAAGTAACCTGAATGATAAAACTTTGTAGGAATCAAAATGCCTCTAACATATATACTTGATCATTAATATCATTAACAGTACATACCGCAGAAAGTCGTATATCGGTCAATCGAATATATCCCGGACACTGGCACGCCTCCTGTCGTCAAGGCATCACATGTCGCAAATGCAGAGAACCTGCCTAGAGACAAAATCGGATAATTCTCGTATAATACTATATCGATTTG